TATATATATATATATATATATATATATATATATATATATATATATATATATATACACATACACATACGTATGAATGAGCTCCTCGAGTCACGACGCGTTTAAAGAGAGAGAAAGTAAATTTACATTCTACATATAATACACATTTTCATAGCTACTAGGAGGAATTGCATCTTGTTTATATATTATGATCTTCAAAAACACATATATATTGCATCCTCCAGGATAAGAAAGCCGAGTATTTTTACCGATCGCTTAACTTTCCGCTCGACTCTATGTACATGCCAGAATGTGGCAGAATGTGTCAGTACACGCTATATACTATATATATATAAAGACCATTTATAAATTATATTAAAGCGCCGGTTACCGTTTAAATTAGTGAGCTTATCGGACAACGTATTTACATTTCCGCCTTCGTTTCCGGATTATAACGTCGCGTCTCGATTCCGGCAACGTATCTAGCAACTAATCATGCGACTCGCGCATATCAATCTATCCCGATATCTCTATGGAATATCAAAGACGAAAATTCTTCTCTGAATGAATGTTAGTATAGGCCCGCGCAGACACGGCACACAATGCGAGGATATATCTTCTACAAATCCTATTTGTATCTCCAAATTAACTAAGATTAATCAAAGAAAATTGACTAATCGATATATACATATATATATGTATATACACATATTACGTATAAAATATATATATATATATATACGTATGTATATATATATGCATACACACACATGTTCCCTACCAGTTTGCTTTGTCAACGTTTATCCGAGGTATAAAATGTCTTATAAAAAGTACAAAAGAGAGAGAGACGGAGTCCGCTAATTGGGAGAGTCTCTCGCGTTTCCTGACTGAGCTTTCGACGTTTTTTTTACGACGGATTCTCGATCGCAGCCGAGATACTTCGCCCTAGTCGTTCCGAACTACATTTATCCTACTATATACACGCGTACTTATTAATGCATCTAGCATTTAGTTAGCAATTAAAAATCGATTACTTTGTTAAATTAACGTTACAGTTGGCTGGGTGTATGCGTGCGCGTCCTATCGTGCCTCTATCGCGTAATCAAAACGATTTCCCCGCGATTTCTAACCGATTCCCATCCCTTGTTCCCTTGTAGACGCGACTGTCTCAATACGCTCTGACTCGACTCTCCACTCCTTGTTCATATGTCGACATTGTCTACTATTTATAACTTGAATTTGGACTACGCGCGCGCGCACACAAATTTCGTATTTGCATTTGTATGTGCGTGTGGAGCGTACACGCATATTCAAACAAAATTTTCTCACTTCCGCGTTCCTTCTTATATCTCGATTGTAAAAAGTATATATATATATATATATATATATATATATATATATATATATATATATATATATATATTTATGTACGACATATAAACAAATACTGTCGCTTACAATGTAATGAACACATCATTGCTTTACTCCCTCTTTCCTCTCACTATATTATTGTAATATAGTGAGTTCTCTCAGCTATATTATTGTAATATCTGTAAAAAAGTCGTCATTCGATAACCGTCCAGCTCTATGAATGGTCTTGGCTGATAATTGTATATCGTACGTAATCATTAATATTACGATGCGTGCATATATCGTCAATTATATTTTATATATTATCTAATAATCATATTGTGTATATAGATTTGCATAATATATTTCAGTGTATTATGGAAACGTCATACACAAGTGAATTGAGTACAGTGTTATATTGAGTGATTATACGTGACATCGTGTATCAAAAGGAAGAAAGATGTGTCTGTCTTACTTGTATATGTACTTTCCACGTGTATGTATTGATTGACAGTGTGATGAAGTGGTCTACGCAAATATATAATATATGACGTCCCAATAATAAACTAAAATGGATAACAATGACTTACAGGAATAATAGTTTATATCTATCTAATACAATAATAATAAGAATATATGAATAATAATTATTATAATAAAAATAGTAACTTTTTAATTATCGCGCGTTATTGCTACTATTTACTATATTATTATACAAAATTTAATATTGTGTCTATATGTACATTCTGTTATATACACATGTTCCGTATATACATGTGTGTATGTGTGTGTGTGTGTGTGTGTGCGCGCATATATACATATGTTTATACATGTATATACATAACTTTCATGAGTAATACGTCGAATTTTGTGTGTTGCACATGTATATACATTAAAAGCGTATCTTTTGCTGTGCAATATACGCAGGATTTTTTCCCGAATTCTGAGTCTAGAAAAAAATAATTATAAAATGAGGAAGACACGTTTTTACCTATGCATACGAGATACAATAATTCCAAACAAAACTGAACAAAAAAAAACAACGAAAAATATTCAATTCGTTTTCCTACATTAAGAAAAAATATTAAGAAATTAGTAAATATTTGTTAAGTAGGTATAACATATTAACATGTTTATTAACATATTTATATGAATACTATTTACATATTTACTTAAACCAAAATTCTTTTCATTAAAATAAATATGTTAATATGTTGCCCATCTAATATTTGTTAATTTTTTTTCTCAGTGTACTTCACCGATCAAAGGACATAATCCTCAAGTCAAAAAAAACGCGAGCGATTCAATTTATTGCACCTAATAAAAACGCGAGCGTTTCGAGACATATTTCCGGGAGTGTGATTTATTTCTCTCAAAAACGAGATGAGGAAAGGGTTCGAATTTTTAATACAAACTAATAAAAGCAAACAACATGCGCCGAATTTGGTTGCTCGTACACTTGGATTACGGATAAGGTGACGGCGGGAGAACGCACGCTGGGGCTACCCGTATAATATCTGACACACACTGTCACAAAAGCTATTTCTGCCCACCGGCAACACTGACTCATCATCGTCACTCATGCCCCGTGCCTTTTCTACCTACTCTCGTGTCGTATCTGTAAGCGGGCCACTCAACTCCTTTCTTTGCGAATGTGAGCTTGGCGCATCGTCTCAATTTCAAAAACTATTGCAAAACCTACGAAGCTATCTTAGCACGCATCTTACCTTAGCGAAGTCCCACGAGACAGAGCAATGTCAGGTTTCTACAAAACCTCTGTTTCGAAAAAATAACGCAAAATAATTTAACCCAGATTGCAAGTGGCACGCCATTTTTTTTTGCAATTTTTCCAGTGAGAAAATTCTGTCTTTATGATCTATCGGTATAATCAGCTATTGCTTGAAAGTATGCGCGCCTCTTTTCACTTTTACATTCTTTTCGCGCCGAATAGCGTACGCGTGTACGCGAAGCGAATAGAAAACCGGTCCGTGAGTCCGGGGGGAACCGGTAGTCAGGTTGTTGGGCAATATCGTGATAAGGCCTCCTCCAACGACTTGAGCGGCGGACCACTTTATCTACGCGATGGAAATCAAAATGCGCGCGGCAGTATAATAGCTCGCGCGTGTATCGGTTTGAAAGTAAAAGAAAAAAAGAAAAGGAAAGAACGTGTTCCTTGCACTCGAATGCCCACGTCGGTGATCGAATCGACTCAAGAGACGAAGTAAGCTTAGCGTTAGTTGAATTGAAAAATCAAAATAATTTACTTCGCTTTTACGCCTATATTTTAACTTCCTTACACTGGAAATTTTTCTCTTAAGTAAAAGAAATACTTTCAATATAAAGGAGTTAGTGTACAGGCGTGAAAGCGAAACAGATTATTTTTATTTCTCACTCCAATTTACGCTAAGTTTACTCCGTATAGTGGAGATACATGCAAATGAAAAGCTAAATTTTATTTCTGTTTGTAAAAATCTTGTGACGCGCTCAGAATTTTCTTTCTCAGAGTTAAAACGTACTCGGTACTTCATTACCGCGTACCTTAGGAACCTATGCTATCGACCTATTCTCGCTCTCTCTTAATTTTAATTTTTCGATCTCTAATTTTTTTTCTCCCTCAGAATTAAAACGAATTTCGCATTTACCTACCAATCTATTCTCGCTCTCTCTTAATTTTAATTTTTCGATCTCTAATTTTTTTTCTCCCTCAGAATTAAAACGAATTTCGCATTTACCTACCAATCTATTCTCGCTCTCTCTTAATTTTAATTTTTCGATCTCTAATTTTTTTTCTCCCTCAGAATTAAAACGAATTTCGCATTTACCTACCAATCTATTCTCGCTCTCTCTTAATTTTAATTTTTCGATCTCTAATTTTTTTTCTCCCTCAGAATTAAAACGAATTTCGCATTTACCTACCAATCTATTCTCGCTCCTTTTCTTAATTTTAATTTTAAACGCCACTCCCTAATTTTTAATTTCGCGAATAATTCTAATTTCAATTTTTTTTTTTACTTATTCTTTAATCTTTTTTATTTTTTTTCCTCTTATATTTTTTATATTTTTTCAACCTTTTTTGTTTTTCTCAAACTTAATTAATATTATTCACACATTTTTACATTTACGAGCGGTCCTTTTTACCTGGCGCTCGTTCAGAAACGACGCACAAACTTATGACGACGATGAAATTAGTGAAGTGGTGAACGTTTTAATTCTGAGAAAGAGATTCGAAACGTATCATGGCAAGTTGAAGAGTGTAGTGACAGGGAACATTTTTCTACGGAATAAAAGTAAAGTTTAGTATGGTTTTCCATCATTTCTGGATATGTAAAAAAGTTCGAAAGCCAACGTGATCCTTAAAACGTGAAGAATATATCTTGTGCTTCAAAGCTGATATTTGCGCGAGCTATTAACGTCTCACGCATTTTGACTACTACCATAGCAAACGAAGTAGACATAATAGACAAAGCAAGGTCGTACAAGAATATCTAAAAAATAAAAAATATTTATTCAACGAATACTATGATAATATATTTACTTAAATCAAAATTCTTTAAGTAGAACGAATCATTGCTCTCATGAAAAGCCAAGAAAGAATTTAAACAAATATATGTTGTATTTGAACGATATTTCAGATATAAATAAATATATTATCTTTCACATATTATCCGTACCAAATAATAATTTTTTTATTTCTTAGACATTTTTGTCTCTCAGTGTGCAAGTCGCGCTTTATTACGACAGTTGCCAACAACGTGTTTCGAATCTGGGTGAACGTATCATAACTTATACTTTGGTTCAAACTGCAAATTTGGCGAACAAGAGCAGGAACCATTGAATCCTTATTAAGTGTACAATATATATTTTCCGCGATAAGGAAGCAAATGATAATATACTATGCGCGCGTCCAAATGTGCAAATCAATCATATCAATCAATATATACATCTGTCATCATACATATACATAGTAGTCTGGAACTACTTCAATAAATCTCTATTCGAATTTGTTAAAGCCTGCGTGCTTTATACCATGTACACATACTCCCTAGATAGTACAGGTAAAGTGCTTCCGAGATGGCTGTGTAGGTGTTTTTTCGTGTAGGTATATCTTGCGATATCGCATACCTACATCGTAGCGGCCATCCGTCGCACAGGAGTCTCGCGTTGGGCCCTCCGCGATATTGGTCTTCGTACTCCCGCATGATCTTCACTCCACACTGAGGCCCGAAGATTCGTTGATACTAGCAACGAAGTTGGCCCCGGTTAACTGCTGCGTTCCGTGAGGAAGACCTCGCCAAGATTCGTCAAGTGCGCCGTCCTCTGTCTGCGGTGTATGCGACATCTACGCCACCTGCGGTTCCTGCAGCACTTGCGAAGTCTGCGACGTTATCAACGTCAGTATTCTGGACCTCTGTGACTCTGAGATTTTGGCTAGTTTGACTAAATTTTGGAATTTGGCTTTCATCCTTATATAATTCTTCTGCTCCTGGGCCAGCTTCATCTTAAGTGTTCGCGACTGCACCATCAATTTGATGCAATATCGGTACGCTTCCTTCAAGATATTGACTTTCGACATCTTTATATTTTCTTTCTCCGGGAGCTCTAGTCTTAGATCTTCGAAGTGGTTTCGCAGGTCCACACGCCTCTGCCGCTCCATGTTGTTGTGCATACTCCTCCTGTCTTCCGCTTCCTCATCGGAAGAGTGTTTTCTCGACGCTCTTGGCTTGCGTCGTCGTTGGCAGGGGCGCTTAGCAGTTGGTTGTTGCGCGCTTTCGGTTTCTACTTTCCGTTTTCGATTCGGGTTAGTCGGTGGCCTGCCGCGCGGCCGACGGGCAGGAGTTTCCACGTTGCATTCGTCGCTTGTCGCCGCTATCGTCGCTTGCTGCTGCGTCCGTTGATTAGAACGCGGGGACACGTTGGATGGGCACCGTCTTTGCTTCACAGTACTTCTTTCTTTTTGGGTGCATGGATTGACTACATCAATCTCGTCGTCTTCTATAATAGAATTAAGAGAATAAATCAACACATGTATGTACGTAAAAAATCGCACGTACACATAGATGGATACGTGAAAATATAGAAAATAGGAGTAGGGAAGAGATAAAGTTTATATAAAAGTGATTGATTAATGACTAGTTATATTTGACTATACTATATATTCATAACCATGCTGATGCACCAGAGACCCCATTAAATAATACTTGATGTTAGGATACTGTCAGTAGCGCGATAAGCATTGTCTTCCATTACGCAATAAAGCATTTTAGTCTCATGCATAATAACATAATATAACAATATAGTACAATAGAGCATATCGTAATAATATAGCTCATATAATTTTAATCTAATATAAAAGTACTTCAGCATTTCTTTCTCTACCTCTCTCTCTCTCTCTCTCTCTCTCTCTATCGTATATGTCGCACAAGTGGCTATCTTTTTATCCAGCATGTGTGTGAGAACAAGTAAAAACTTATAATACTCAAAAGTGCATAAAAATGAAAAAAAATAAACAATTGATCCAATAACCACGTCCAGACGCTAGCTGTGTGATACGAATATTTTCCCGTTCTAGCTGAAACTGTGAGAAGAAATGATTAAAATAAAAAGAGCATTGATGAGTTTTCGTAATACGAAGCTTCGCGACAACCAATAATTCCCGATCATTCGTATTCTGCGAGACCTCGTTAGTGGCGGCGCTAGAATGTTGCTAATTGGCCGCGACGGGACGATCGCTTCTCTGTCTCGACGGTGCATCATGGTCAGGGTGAAGGCCAGAGGATCGTTTCGGAAAGTGAATGAAAGGAGGAGAGCGCCACGGATGACCAAACGTGACTCGGCGGTTCCTTTCTCAGCGAAACCGTCGGCGGCGGATACGCGATAATATTTATCTCGAGAGAATCCCGCCGCCGCCGCCGCCTTCTCCTCCTCCTCTTCTTCCTGCGCCCTTTAGCAGTCGAGCAATTATTTCCGTTGCGCCTTGGCGATCGCGATTGCGCGGGAAATCGCGGCGAGATGACGATTTGGGTCTGCTGTTCTGTTGCACATGACAGAATTCGCTATTGTGGCCGACGATTGGCGCGAATGATCGATCGAAGACGGACAATTGCACAGGCAATTTTCACGATACACGTCCGCGCCCCGATGACGTTAGAAACGCCGCGTCGCGGTCGCTACATTCGAAGGAGATGATCCCAGATCATTTAATGATCGAAACTCACTTCGATATGGCAATCAACGCGACGATAATACGCTCCGTCGACGACGGAAATTAAAGTGATGATACTTAGCGAAATACTGAATCGCTCAGCTTTCGTCGGACATTCGTTATTGCACTATAAACATGAGCCGCGGAAGATCCTCCCTCTGAGAAGGGCGCGAAATCGCGGCGCAAAATTACCGGGTACACCGGGAATTCTGATGATTCGGGCATTGCGAGTTAATTAGCCGACAGAAATGTTAAAACACACGTCTGCCAAACTTTTTCTCGTTCATAAACCACGGCTTTAATTGAAACATCACGGCGCATTCGCGAGAAACGATAAACCGGTATATTCACTATAGGCCTCGGCCATTTTTCTCTCCCAATATGCACTGTAACAAAACTGTAATTAAAACCTTTCTATCGAAAAATATTGTACACAACAATCTACACAACAATTTAGTTCTCTCTACTAACAAAAATACTGTACTATAGCAATTTAGCTTATTCTATTGAAAATATTATCGTGACAACGCAATCCGTTCTATTGGAACATATTGCACTACAACAATTTAGTTCTTTCTATAAAGAACTATTGTATTGTAATCATTTAGTCCATTCTACTGGAAAATACTGTGCTATAGAAATTTAGTTTTTTCTATAAAAACTATTGTACTGTAAAAATTTAAGCCATTCTATTGGAAAATATTGTACAAGCCTGTTCTATTGAATCTGTTTTAATAAGCTGTGCTATCGCTCTCCAAGCCGAAGCCGCGAATTTACTATAAAAAAGAACCGTAAAAATGTGATTTTACTTTTTTCCCTTTCTTATTTCTTCTCTTTTTTATTAACACAAGCATTTGAGGAAAAACGAATCGCGAGGGTATCCTTGACGTAAGGCAATCACGGCTCGCGAGGCAGAAATATCGAGACGTAATAAGTTAATAACGGCCTATTGCGCTTTATTACGTACGAATCGTTCCGAAAGCCGAACAAATTGACTCAATAAAGATAAGATAAACCGCGCAGTAAACGGCGATGATGCGCGACACTTGTCGAGGGATGACGACGACGACGACGATGTTGCATCGCGACAATTGAGAAACACGCGAACGGATGTCTCTTCGCGCCGGCACTCGCAAATACGAGTCGTGTTACGGAAGTGCCCTTGCCGGCAGAATTAGTGGCTGCATCCGCATGGGAGGAATCCGGACCAACCGGATTTCCAGCGATTGTGCCAGGCACCGAGAATGACGTAGTTTGCAGAAACGCCCACGGTTTCGTATGTCACCCTGAACGCCTCTGTTACCACATGGTGTTCGAGGGACTACCGCGGTCAAGCCGATCGGCTTTTACTAGGACTGTCGCGATTCTATACTAGCTGCCTACGACTGATCACTTTCCGCTTAACCTTGACTTATACTAAACATCTTTCAGATGCGTGGTATATATTTCTTTCTAATTTACTGTCAAGAACTCTCTTTCTCAAAATTATACTTGACCACATCAAAAGCAAAACAAAAATTGACAATGTTTAACTTACCAACTTTGCTGGCAGAGAAAATCAACATCAACCGACCCAAAAATGGCAAGATCTAAATGTTGTTTAATTTTTATAAAAATCAGTACTAATATACTTTTCGAGTCACTGAATACGAATTTGAAATTAAAATTTGAAAGTTCAAATTAATGTCAGATCTGAAATCAGCGACTCTAAAAATCCTTGGGTACTGAGTTTCATGAAAATCTTGCTAACGGAAAAAAAATAAAATGTGCGCATTAGTGCGTCAATGCCATTTTTAGTACATCCCGTATTTAAAAAAAGTGCGTCAATGCCAGCGAAGTGGTTAAGATAAAGTATCAATGTCCAGATATGATATACCTAATTCTGAGCATTTTTATCGTGTTGGTCTTTAAATATAAATATAAATATTTAAACTTTAATATAAAATATATACACCAGTATTGAGTATACACACATACATTCTATATTGAAAGTTTAAATATTTGTATTTAAAGACCAAAACAATAAGAATGTTTTACAAGAAATTGTCGTAATGGCACGCTCGAGTTCCTTCTCAATGCACAATAAAATCTGGTCGACAACCCTATAATAATATCCGGAAATATCAGTTAATTATACACGACAGCAAGACGAGGTAAGGATATCGTCGTAACGCTCGAGTTGCTTCCCAATACACAACAATAAGAATGCACTAAGTATGAATTAATGCTTTTACCTTGCTTTGTATTCGCTACTCTGTAAACATGATTGCTATTCGATACAATCAAAGTAGAAATACAAAATACAAAGTTGCATTACGTCGACGTTCGACATGCTCTCAAGATATTCGAAACTTTTCTCCCCCCTTTGTCCAGAAAATATACACATATGCTCGGGATCAAATTATACGAATTATCGTAGCTTGGTGATAGATAAGCCGCGTGCAGCAGGCACTGGGCCATTTATGTCGTTACCCTCGAAAGAGAATTCAATTAACGCCATTCGCTTGTTAGCGCCCTCACGCCCACCCCGACGTGCCCTTTCTGGCAGCGCTCCACCTATGCCGTAATCCATTTCACCCCAAGCTCGCAAACGGGGACAAGCGGAAGGAGACGGTCGAGGAACGAGGAAGAAAACGAGAGGCCGACTCGCGTTCGCCGGGCTCACATGAGCACCTATGCACGTGTGCGCGTCGCTTGCGCTTCCACGTGCCTGTGTCTGCCCCGCCTGCCTGCATTCAGACGTATGAATCTTGCCGCGAGGCTGGCGCGCCGCCAGGACAGTCGTCGGACGCGGTGCAAAAAGGCGCGAAACGTCTAAAAATAACGAGACACCGAACGAAATTAGTAGGCGAGGGTTTGATTTACAAAGGAGGCGCGCGCGGCGCCAGTGCGGTGATATTCGCGAGCCAACCTTCACAAAAGATACGCGGCACGTGTATACGGTGATAATCTCTCAAATAATTAACGTCATTAATTGTAACACGCGAGCGCGCTGTTCAAACCCGCAATCAATGAGTTAAACTATTAAATGTACACAGACTCGCGATTACCATGACAAGCTTATAATTGCTGATATGCCGATTGCTGTTGAGTGTCGAGCCGCGTCCTCCTGTTGCGATAACGTCACGATGCAATGCCGCGTATGCACTTATCCGCGTCGCGATAAGGTGCGAAATCCCGCAGTTCACGAAATTTGCATCGCTTCTAACTTTACTGCAAAAAAAAAATGCTCAAACCGTCTCACGAATGAGTGTTTCGTGCGAGCATCTCGGCCGAGGGAGTGCCGCCGCGGAGATCCTCCGCGACGTCCGTCTTTCCAGCAACGCGTTTAATTAGCCACGGCTCAGCGATGTACGCGAGAGCAGTGCGCGAGGCCGAAGACAAGCACGCACACAGGCAGGCAGAGTGAGAGAGCGCGAATTCGCAAGACGGGAACGCGGAAGCGGCCTCGCGACGTCGTGCGTTCGCGCTCACGCTCAAGCGCGCAATTGAGCGTTAGAACATATGCTAATAATCGCGTAGCGGCGCTCGCAATTTACGGCGTCTGCGTCTCTGGCTTGTCTGTCTCCCTCTTTCTCTCTCTGTGTGTTTCTTTCGCGCGAGCGCGCACACGTGCGCGTGATATCGCGACGCGGATTCGCGATTACGCTCCACTGACGTAAGCGAGCAACAACGCTCTAACGTCACACCCGTTGTGCAACGACTTGCTCATTAACCGGCTCATTAATCGCACAGGCTCCTCCCCTACCCGGCGAACGTTCGGGCATTAATTGAGTCCGGCGAAGACGCG